CCCCAAAACCCCAAAACCCCAAAACCCCATCTGAGTATTAAGATTTGATTATCGAAGTATTAAAATATTAAGTTTAATTAAAGTTTATATTAGGTAGAATCACTTCTTTTTCTTTCCACTGGCGTTTTTGCCAGCACTTCCCATTGAAAATAGTCCATCATCTTAATCTTCTTTCTTCTTCTCAGGTGATCCAAACAAGTTACTCTATTAAAATTATTTAAAAAATGAAGAACTTACAGTGTTGAAATGTGGTTTTTACACGGATTGAGCTTACTAACCTTGGAACAAACTTCCTGCGTTTTACACAAATGGGTTTGAATTTTGTTGAATCCCTCCACCAAATAGTGAAGCTTATTAAGGCTATGCAAATAGATTTTACTGAGTTGCAGCAAATAAAGAATTCTAAGGTTATTGATTTACTTAGGCAAAAGGATTTGATTATAATTGAGTTTTTTGTGACTCTAAAGGCTGACCAAAAAGACTGGGTGTCTATATTTACTGATTAAATATAGATTATGGCTGATTTTGTTGCTAATTATTGGCAGTAAATGGATTAGGTTATGCACTAGCAAATGGGTTTGACTATTAACCTTATTTAGCAAATGGATTTGATTTCTCAGTTTAAGGAGCTACTTATTAAACGAAAGGATTTTATTTTTCTGTAGTCTAGGCTTAATTTGTTAAGAAGGGATTTGTTGGCTTGTCTGTTGGTTTTTAAGTATTATTTCCAAAAGAAAAGAAGCTATTAGTGGTAACTTCATCTCCTACTTTTGGAATAGAAACCAATCCGAAAACACTTGACTTATTATTAACTTCTGATTGATTAGAGCCAAAAAGTGATGGTGCTTATTAACTGGTAGCATCATTTGCAATTGATGCAAAAATATTAGCAGCTTGTTTCGGTTGAAGGAAAGGATTATTAGCCTTCATTGATGACAATAAGGGATTGCTGGTAATACTTTTAGTTTCATCTTTCTTAGCTTCATTCTCTGTTTTTTTTTCTGCTTGAGTAAATAGAGAGGTTGGCATGTCTTCTTTTTTATCTTAAGATATCCCAGTATTTCCAAATAACGATGGAGTCGCAGTGATATTGCCAGAATCTTTATTTGTTGCTCCAAATAAATTTAAAGATTGTTTAACTTCAGTTTTTTCTTCTTACTTATCTTTAGATGTACTAGTCAAATTTTGATTACCTGAGAATGCAAATAGTGAAGGCTTTTCACCAATAGGATTTGAAAATAGAGAGGTTTTATTAGTTTCAGTTTCTTTGGCAGAGAAAATGCTAGGGGGTATGGTGATATTATCTTTTTTTTCATTCATGGACTTGAATAGAGATGGTGCCTCTTATTTGTTTTCAGTTTCTATTTACTTTGCTTCTGGAACTTTGAATGTTGACTCAACAGGTTTAATTTATCCAAAGAGTGATCCAGTAGATAGATTAGACTATGAAAATATTGAAGCACTCGCTGGTTTTTTGTCTTCAAATAATGAAGTAGATGGTTTAGATTCAAAGAGAGATCCAGCTTTAAAAGTTGATTCTGTTTTATTATTTTATTCATTCTCGTTATTATTTCCAAATAGACTTGGTTTTTGGGCAACTGGTTTTTTCAAAGATGGATCTGTGTCTAATGATGGTGGCTTGTCAATCAATATTGGTTATTTTTCCTCTTATTTCTTCTCAGTTGATAAATTTGATGAAAGCCCAAAAGCTGGTGATTAATTCATTATTTGACTACTTTCATTCTTGCCTTTGCTTGAGCTTACATTTAAGTTAGTATTAGCAAATATGTCAGAAGGCTAAGCATTCTTAATTTATTCAATTGGAGAAATTGCTCCATTTCTATCATTATCGAAGAAAACTGATTTTTATTGAATAAGGTTTGACTTCTTGCTACTATCCTATATTTCATCAAATTTCTTTTAGAGTTGTGTTTTGGTGCCTTATGGAGTATTGTTGAAATTTTTATCTAGAAGCTACTCATCAAGATCCCCTCCAAATTCAGAGTGGGACCTTGAAATATCTCTTTTGTAGGTAGTGTAATTGTTATTGGCATTATTATTAGTTTACATGAATGATTTATTCATTAGATAATCACGACTGTTTGATCTAGATCTTGACAGTCCAGAGATTACAGAATAACCATCACCCATGTTGCTATTATTGCTCATCACACTCTTTGCTTCTTAATAGAATTTATCAGTCCCATCTTTCCATACCTTCACAATTTTATCCTTGACTTAACCTGAAAAGTTAGATACTAAGCTTTTTTTAAGGCTCTCAATTTTATCCTCAAGTTTTTTCGATTTATTCTATTACTCTTACTATAAATTAACTAAAGTCTCTTGAAGTTATTGGAATTTAATATTCTACTATTCTAGCAATTACCTAAGAATCTTCTCTTCATCTGTTTATTGATGCTTTAACTTTAACCTTTTTGAAGGATTTTATCTAGTTTAAGCCAAGTTATCATTTATATCTTCAATCTACTCTTCCTCTTCTTGATATTACTAATTCCTTGACTTTCTTTTTGCTAAGTATGCCTACTAACTAGGCTATTGAGATTAGTTAATAAATCCTTATGGCCTATATATGCTTATTCTTCTTTATTGATGTTGATCTCTCATCGATTAATCTTAATCAAGAGCATTCTAGTTGAATAATTAAGGGATAGGGACTGCATCTAACTATTTGTCAAAAGTCTCAACTTCTATATCATTAAAGTTTTACTTCCTAATAGCCAATGAATTACTCTTTTCTCTGTTGTCTTCATCTCCTAATCTTGTTATTGATTACACAACAGAAGAGACGAAATTCTTAGCTCTTTAGAATAAGCTTTCATTTTCTGGGCTTGCTTTACCTCTGATTAATCTAGCAGTCTGATAAATTGTTCTACTTCTTGGATCTTCCTCATATTAAGTCTGCCCTTTCAGATAAATAGGAATATTTCTTCTTTACTAGCTATTCAAAACAGTACCTCTATTTTCAATTATGTACCTCTGAACTCTATTATATTGTCTCCTTTCCTCATTGTTAAATGGACCAAATCTGGGTATTTCATCATTATTATCGGCAAAGTAGCTGCTTTTATTGGTTGATGAGCGGCAAAAACTCATTGTATATTAATAATTAATAATTTTAATCAATAAGCTATAAAATATATATTGATTTATTATATTGCCTTGAGGGGTTTTGGGGTTTTGGGGTTTTGGGG